CGCAAGATGAAACCAAGACGCCAACACTGAGATCGCATTCCATGGGCCTGTAAACGTTTGAAAGAACGTTTGTTGCTGCCTCCTCGTCCAGAACGGGGATTGGCGCGGCCTCAGTTCGCTCACTCCTTCGTGCAAGACTGTCTACTGCAAAACTGCGGTGGAATAATGTGGATTGAGAAATCGAATATTGTGGAATTGGACATTGGGCTCACTGCCTTTGATAAGTGCCGAGGGAAACATGTTACTTAAAGTAATGGCATACACATCTTCAAAGAAATATAATTCGTTTTCCCAAGTGAAAGCCGTTCAAACAAAGTAAGCTTAGCCTTACCTTTGGTAGATTTGGATCCACTTTGTGTGTGTGTGTGTGTGTGTGTGTGTGTGTGTGTGTGTGTGTGTGTGTGTGTGTGTGTGTGTGTGTGTGTGTGTGTGTGTATCTGTATCTGTCTATCTATCTATATATTTATATACATATACATATACATTTACATATACATATATATGCACACACACACCAACATATACAGGGTACTGTTTAATATTATTCAGTTTAAAAATTATAGTCATGTTAGGCATACTTAGTAGCAAATAAGGAAATAAATACATAGTTACTGTTCACCCCCATAGCTTCGCCACTATTTATTATATGTATTATATATGTTTGTGTTTATGTGTGTGTATATGTGTGTGTGTGTATGCGTGTGTGTGTGTGTGTGTGTGTGTGTGTGTGTGTGTGTGTGTGTGTGTGTGTGTGTGTGTGTGTGTGTGTGTGTGTGTGTGTGTGTGTGCGCGCGCGCATCCCCCTAGAAAATTTAGCGTTTCCTTCGGTCTCCAACACTCACGTATTACTACTATATGGAAAAACAGTTGTGTAAACCATGAACGAGTTCCAACGTCATTCCTTCCGTCTGCTCCATTGGCCATTTCTTACTGAAGGCAGCCATATGCAAAGGAACATGGTTTGGCTGAAAATGATATTTGCGTTAGATTCTTCTTTATTATAGGTTAGGAACAATATCATTGGTCCCACACTTTTGCCTCTACATTGCGTAAATGTAAGCATGACCAAAGTTTACGATTTTAGAAAAAAATGATAATCAGAGGGATGCAATATTGATAGTGAAATCTAAATTCATTCTTAAGTATAAATTGCGATTCGTTTCTTTTGTCTATCGATGCATGAAGTTTTCTTTGGAATTGCGAGGCTCACTTTGGAATTTATTCTTCCAAAAGCTCTCTCAAAACTTTAACGTTGCATATTGGAAATTGCTCTCGAGTCGTTACAGGATAATTATTGATATATCTAGTGTTACTTTGATTAATAATAAAAAAATAGTCATTCCAAAAATATAGCGGAGAGGGATATAGTATGAAAGATATGCAGTTTTATTTTTAATCCCAGAGCACAATTTAACCTTTGTAATGTCTTTTCGGTTTCTTCACAGTCTCGAAATATTGATTTTCTGTGTTTATTTTGTTTTCAAATACATGTTTACAGTGCACTTAAAATTTCCCCTCCGAGGCATTTAGCTCCTCTTGGTGGTGAGACAGCAGCCATACCTTTGCGATTTACTGTATCTCAACCCGACTAGTTTCCCTTAATTAAGCAACGGCCTCACTAGTCTTGTCTGCCCGAGGATCCCGGACAGCCACGCCGTGTTAGCGTTACGATTACTACAGTCATCATGTTTACAAAATAATGCAAAGCACATGTTTGGTGAGAACGATTAGATTACTGAAAAATCAGGCTTGCTTCTTATCTTATCATATTGTGTATCATGTAGAAGCGCAAAAGACATTTGTTTTAATCTCGTTCATTCGTTCATCGATCAGCCAAGGCCTGTGTTATGCCCAAGAGCAGCGGTTCCCAAAGCTTTTGGCACAGCGCGTCCCTTTCGCTGGCGTGCGGTGCATACCCTCCTCCCTTCACCCTTCGTGCCCCAAGAGGGGAAAAGGTAGCATTTCCTTAGGTGAGCTAAATTACCCAGGTAAACTGATGTAAGTATCTGCTCAGTAATGGAATATTGTCAGCGCCTCACGCTCTCACCGCACATATTAAAGCCCACCTATCCATATTCTCCTCATTCTCTGCCCCTGTCTCCCTCCCATGTGTGCCCCTCAGTCTGGGAACCACTGCTCCCTACCCTTGTATCCCAGGTTAAGAACAGCTGGTGTTCTTAGATTATCGTTGTTTTCACCCATTCAGTGCCACATGCAAGTGTGTCTTTACCCAGGTTGTCACATAAGTTCTGGACATCATTCTGACACCTTTCCCAAAGTCAGTCTTACATATCAAAACATTTTTCCCTTACAATATATATGTCCTTTTACCCTCTAAGTACCACATATAAGTGTGTTTACTCTCTTTAAGGGCCACATAAGTTCTGGACATCATTCTGACGCCTTTCCCAAAGTCACTCTTACATATCATAGTTTTTATTCCCTTACAATATATATGTCCTTTTACCCTTTAAGTACCACATATAAGTGTGTTTACTCTCTTTAAGGATCACATAAGTTCTGGACACGCTTTTCCCAAAGTCATATCATATATTTTTTTCCCTTACAATAGATATGTCTTTTTACCCTCTAAGTACCACATATAAGTGTGTTTACTCTCTTTAAAGGTCACATAATTTCTGGACTTCATTCTGACACCTTTCCCGGAGTCAATCTACCCTCCTATGCATCTTGAGACTTCTGCTATATCTTATGTAACGATATAAATTTTGACTTACACCTGTCCCTCTCCTCAGGCACCAGTTAACCCCGCTGTCAAAACACACACATGGGTACTGTATATCTGCGACGACAGCTTTAGTGTAGCCAGCTGTAGTGAATAGTGATTGTATGGCGTTGTGGATTCTCGTTTAGAACATGTAAGGAAGAAGTTAACTTTACAGCGCAAAAATTGATAGACCGTTAACACCTTTTTATATCATACCTTCATCGGAACTGTGTCCACATCTGTAAAAATCTGATGGAAGGTGTGGCTGCTCCTGCGTTGTGAAGTTACTCATCTCCCTTCATGCTTGCTCTTCATTTGCTGCAATGAACTGTGGAGTTTCTTATCATAGATCAACTGTTCTGAGTAGGGCTGTGGTCGCCACTAACTCGTAACTAGATTGTTTACATTTACAGTTAATTCTTAGCAGATATTCAGTAGTAACTGAGTGTGCAAGTATACATATATACATATATACAAGCTATAAGTGTTTTATGCCTTTTTTAACGATAATCTGCTATAAGTTCTTAGGTTAGTGTTGGAAGCATTGCTATAAGGTGTATGTTATATTTGATTAAATCGTGCTTGGATGGTTCAAGAATTTAACAGTGCTGTTCTGTACGTGGATATGTCTGTTAATAGACGCGCGCGCGCACACACACACACACACACACACGCACACACACGCACACGCACATACACACACACACACACACACACGCACGCACACGCATTCGCACACACACATACACACACACACACACACACACACGCACACGCACACGCACTCGCACTCGCACAAACACACACACACACACACACACACACACACACACATACACACACACACACACACGCACGCACGTACAGACAGTAATAATGGTGATGATAATTATGATAATAACAATAATAACAATAATAATAGTAATAATAATGATAATAATAATAATAATAATAATAATAATAGTTATAACATTAATATTAATAATGGTAATGCTTATGATAATAATGAAAAGTATAGTAATGATGATAATATTAATATTATTAACGATAATGATAATAATAATAGTAATATTAATGATAATAATAATGATGATAATGATAATAATACTAAATAGTAATACAGATAACAACAAAAATAATAATACACTAATGCAATAATAATAAAAATGATGATAATAATAGTAGTAGTAATTATTATCTTGATAATGATGAAAATAATGAGTGTGAGGATATTGATAATAATGACATATATGATGATGGTAGGAATAACAATAAAAATTATAACAATGGTAAAAATAATAATAACGACAACAATGATTTTAATGATGTTGATAGTAACAGTGATGGTGATGATACTACTACTACTAATAATGATAATAAATAACGATAGTAATAATAATAGTTATAACAATAATGACAATAATAATAATAATATATGATATCATTGGTAATGATGATAAAAATAAAGACAACAGTAATGATATCAATAATAATATTCATGTTATTAGCATGATCTGTACCTCTAGAACTGCAACAGATTGGATTAATGTTATCACAGTGCAAGAAGTATATTTTATCTGTTTCAATTATATCTTTGTCAGAAATACATGAATATTTCTGGTTTATTACTGATGAATATATAAACGAAATCGGCGAGATACATCTTTTACACATGTTCATACTTTCTTTATGATTGTACACACACACACACACACACACACACACACACACACACACACACACACACACACACACACACACACACATATACATACATACATACATATACACACATATACACACATACACAAATATACATCTTGAGCATGTTATATTAACAACCATTTTCCGTAGACATTATTCACTATTGTAGTGAAATTTTCCACAATCATGAAACACTTCGCTGCATCCAAGAAAACCGTTCCATTTCCCGCTCCTCTGGCCTAATCCACACGTTGCGGTTCGACGTAATCAGGCGTCACGTTTAGGATCCGGTCTTCTTATGTAGGCCTACAGCTGTTGCTCCGACATGGCGCCTCGGAAACTTTGAATGTATCAGAGGACTCCGGCTCTGTCACTTGAAAATGCTAAGTGTATTATAGCTTGCATTTTGAGTAGCTATTTTCGTAACAATGCTTGTGTTACAAGCAAGAAGTTCTTTTGTTGGCATACTAGACAGGGAGAAAATGATCCCCATTTGCTTTCCTTGTAAAATTTTCAAAGAACTTTCAAGCTGGTTCGCTTCCTTCAGACATGCATAGCGCTGACAGATTATGACAAGTTATGGTCGGCTATGAGTAGGATAATGATAAAAAGGGAAATACTTATTTGATTTCCTACTTGATTTTTGAGAGAGAACCTATTGGTGGTAACGAGTAGAATGAATTATATATCATATATTACACTGTTAAAAAAAGTGAATAATAATGATAACATAATAATAAGCAATAAACATTCTTTCCGTTGCAATTCTTCTTCAGTGGATTTTCCATATTTTCTCTTTCACATGCGTAACGCTGTATTTTCTATTGGTCATATAATACAGCTGTGCATAGCCCCCGACCAATGCAGTTAGTTCTTCTTCAGCGTCTGCTTGGCTCACGACTCTCAACAAAGCGCGACGTGCGTATCGGTGTTCAGCTTGGGTAAGGGACGTTTCGCAACACAAACGTTTTATTCGTTACAGGCATATGCACAGAAGCCGTACGGAAAACGAACGATAACAAATAACGTAAATACCTACACTGATCTGTACATAAAATGTTTTGCGTTAGGGAGCCGTACGCAAACCACACGGAGACGAACCGCAGCGTGTGAATCGGGCCACAGTCGCTCAGCGCAGCAGTCAAACCACTCAGCATTAAACCTTAACCAAAACCTGTTACAGATAGGAGCTCGCCTCTAAGTACATGTCGGCGGGTGGCTGATAGAACTGAAGATGACTCTGACCACGTGTACAGCCAATGGCACCTCCTCCCTGACCTCCTGCTCGAACAGGTGTTCCAGTACCTGACGCTGTGCGAGCGGTACAATGCCTCCTTGGTAAGCCCCCGGAGTCACTCGAAACCCTTTCGCGGTTGGGTTGGGTAAGGAAAGGCAAGGCAGGGCAAGGCAAAGCAAGGCAAGATATATATATATATATATATATATATATATATATATATATATATATATATATATATATATATATATATATATATATATATATATATATATATATATATATATATATATATATATATATATATATATATATATATATATATATATATATATATATATATATATATATATATATATATATATATATATATATATATATATATATATATATATATATATATATATATATATATATATATATATATATATATATATATATATATATATATATATATATATATATATATATATATATATATATATATATATATATATATATATATATATATATATATATATATATATATATATATATATATATATATATATATATATATATATATATATATATATATATATATATATATATATATATATATATATATATATATATATATATATATATATATATATATATATATATATATATATATATATATATATATATATATATATATATATATATATATATATATATATATATATATATATATATATATATATATATATATATATATATATATATATATATATATATATATATATATATATATATATATATATATATATATATATATATATATATATATATATATATATATATATATATATATATATATATATATATATATATATATATATATATATATATATATATATATATATATATATATATATATATATATATATATATATATATATATATATATATATATATATATATATATATATATATATATATATATATATATATATATATATATATATATATATATATATATATATATATATATATATATATATATATATATATATATATATATATATATATATATATATATATATATATATATATATATATATATATATATATATATATATATATATATATATATATATATATATATATATATATATATATATATATATATATATATATATATATATATATATATATATATATATATATATATATATATATATATATATATATATATATATATATATATATATATATATATATATATATATATATATATATATATATATATATATATATATATATATATATATATATATATATATATATATATATATATATATATATATATATATATATATATATATATATATATATATATATATATATATATATATATATATATATATATATATATATATATATATATATATATATATATATATATATATATATATATATATATATATATATATATATATATATATATATATATATATATATATATATATATATATATATATATATATATATATATATATATATATATATATATATATATATATATATATATATATATATATATATATATATATATATATATATATATATATATATATATATATATATATATATATATATATATATATATATATATATATATATATATATATATATATATATATATATATATATATATATATATATATATATATATATATATATATATATATATATATATATATATATATATATATATATATATATATATATATATATATATATATATATATATATATATATATATATATATATATATATATATATATATATATATATATATATATATATATATATATATATATATATATATATATATATATATATATATATATATATATATATATATATATATATATATATATATATATATATATATATATATATATATATATATATATATATATATATATATATATATATATATATATATATATATATATATATATATATATATATATATATATATATATATATATATATATATATATATATATATATATATATATATATATATATATATATATATATATATATATATATATATATATATATATATATATATATATATATATATATATATATATATATATATATATATATATATATATATCAAGGCAAGACAAGGTAAGGTAAGGTAAGGCAAGGCAAGGCAAGGCAAGGCAAGGCAAGGCAAGGCAAGGCAAGGCGAGGCGAGGCGAGGCGAGGCGAGGGGAGGCAAGGCAAGACAAGGTAAGGCAAGGCAAGGCAAGGCAAGGCAAGGCAAGGCAAGGCAAGACAAGGTAAGGTAAGGTAAGGTAAGGTAAGGCAAGGCAAGGCAAGGCAAGGCAAGGCAAGGCAAGGCAAGGCAAGGCAAGGCAAGGCAAGGCAAGACAAGGTAAGGTAAGGTAAGGTAAGGTAAGGTAAGGTAAGGTAAGGCAAGGCAAGGCAAGGCAAGGCAAGGCAAGGCAAAGCAAAGCAAGACAAGACAAGACAAGACAAGACAAGACAAGACAAGACAAGACAAGACAAGACAAGACAAGACAAGACAAGACAAGACAAGACAAGACAAGACAAGACAAGACAAGATAAGGTAAGGTTAGGCAAGGCAAGGCAAGACGGGGCGAGGCGAGGCGAGGCAAGGTAAGGCCAGGCCAGGGCAAGGCAAGGCAAAGCAAGGTAAGTTAAGTTAAGGTTAGTTAAGGTGAAACTGTATGTTGACAAATGTAGAAAAGGTATGAATGTGAATGAATATCTTGACTGGTTTCGAGTATAAATGTATTTCTAACGAAGATATAATCGAAGCCGGTCAAATACATCTCTTGCATTGTGAAGATATTCATTCTCATTCATACCTTTTCTACAAGACAAGGTAAAGTAAGGCAAGGTGAGGTAAGACAAGACAAGGCAAGGTAACGTAAGGCAAGGCAAGACAAGGCAAGTCAAAATAAAGTTACTTTTCGGATGAATTGGGTTCAGTTATGTAAAGTTGGCTTGGTTTGTGTTATGTCATATTTATGCTATGTAATGTTTATATTAGGTAAACTTGGTATGGGTCGGGAGAGATTAGGTAAGGTAAGAGCAGATAAGATAAGTTGAGCTGGATTTCATAGTTTAGTTTTGTTGGAATTAACAGTTTTATATATATATATATATATATATATATATATATATATATATATATATATATATATATATATATATATATATATATATATATATATATATATATATATATATATATATATATATGCAGTAATGGTATAGGTAACTGGTGATAAAGATGATGTGATAATAAGTGCAATAATGTCTGGGTTATATTTATGTTTAAAGGATGGTAATAAAGTAAATATAATAATGATGCAACAATAACAATGGTATGATTATAATATAATCATATTAAAGAAAACATGATATCAGTGATACTAATAATAACTGTTTTAGAAATTGCATTTATTGCTGCTACTGCCATTAGGTCTACATTGTTATCATCATTATTAATACTATCAGTATTGTTATCATTATTGGTATTGCCATATTGTTATCAGTATCATCGGTGTTATCATTATTATTACAGGCACTGGGAACATTACTATTGTTATTATCATGGGTATTATCATTACCACTTAATTAACTTTTATTGTCATTAACAGTATTACCATTTTCACTAACACCCTGTTTTTTTTTATTATTATTAAATGGAGCAGGTCATTTTGCACATCAGTTGATTCTTCTAAGCCATTATTATTGAACACTTAGTGAGCGCGTGTATAAAGTCAAGTTAAAACTAATAAAATTTTCAAATTTGTAGAATCATAAGATTTTGTTCCATTGAAAGAAATTTCGATACATTTTGTTGATTTCTATATTTCATTCATTTTAACACGTGGTCTTTGCATTCCAGTCTATCAGATATTAATGTCTTTACTTCGATGTTAAAACGCATTGTGTGAAGGCTTAGAACATTTTTCTTGTTGATAAAGCGATTCTTCCTCTCATATACAGCTATCTACTTTCGTTTTAATTTCCTTTCATTCATTTTTATTTATTGTTTTTCATCTTATAATCACAATGATCGATGTTTCAAACGTGACTGAAACAGGGCCGGGATTTCACAATTCCTTTTAGCCGCGTCAGGGAGCCTACCATTTTCACATCCCAGTCATGAACGAGACCCAGGGTGTATTGTTATAATTCTAACAGTCTGGTGTAGTAATTCCGTTGACTGGGTTTTAAGATCGATCCCACGAAATAATGAATAACAGCAAACACTGGCTTAACCATATATAATATCTGCCACAAGAGACTTTGCTTAATTATCTGATTAACGATTATATTGCATATAGTAATATTGGTGTTTATGAATAACCTGTTTGCCATTTTAGGTCTGTTGGAATTGGTATGCAGCTTTCTACTTCCCGAGAGTTTGGTACACCTTCGTATTCCACGATGAACTGCTCACCAAAAGAAAATTCAATTATTATTCTGGATATCAGGTTAGTGTCTCATGTGCCTATTTCTACCGAAAATAATTTGTGTGTGTGTGTGGATGCCTAAAAACAGAGCTACAGTTTCCGTGTTATCCTTAAAAACAAAAACAAAAACAGGAATATATATATATATATATATATATATATATATATATATATATATATATATATATATATATATATATATGTATATATGTATATATGTATATATATATATATATATATATATATATATATATATATATATATATGTATATGTATATATACATATACATATATATATATATATATATATATATATATATATATATATATATATATATATATATATATATATATATGCATGTATATATAAATAGTTAAAAGTTAAATGCTCTAGCGCCAGGGTGAATGAAATATTTCCGGAGGTGTGGCTAAACCGTGGCATGGAAGTGGCAAAAGATGCAAGGGTATCAATAGGCTTATTTTCAGTTCGGAAAAGAGTATGGCATATTTTGTAATTTTTGTATCAATGTGTAGTTCTTATCATGGCACATTTATTTACACATGTAAGTAATCAGTTGTTCAAGATCAATAGATATCGGTTGCTCTTCTACAACATGCATGCTCACATTAAGTATGAAAATTGATAAATCAGTTATCGAAAAGTCGTAGTCATTTGAATATAAAAGCGCAAACTAATCAGAATTTGAAAAAAGCAAAAGGAACAGAAAAAAGGAATTTATTTTTACGGAACCGAGGTTAAGCTGTTTTCAAATTGTTTGCTTATTAGAGATTTCATAGAATTCCTACCAAAATGTCTATGAAAAAGTATCATAATTATAAATAATTTGTCTTTGGAAGAACGAGAAATACATTGTGACCGGATGCTGCCGAGTATATGGTCTTTTACTATTCTATGAAAATGTAAGGAAAACAGCTTTCATCCTTCGTCATCAATGTAAGGATTGAAAGGTATATTTCCATACAGTCCCGAAAAAATGGTCGAGGTTACAGTGTAGGCCTAAAATGTTGATTCATGATTTTCAATAAATGAACTAATGATCTGTCGCACAATGCAGACATTCATTGACAAGAAGGACAGGCTCTATTTTCAGGTTCGTTCATTACTCTAGCTTAGGAAGATGGTTTGATTGAAGACAAGGTCATATTCAGGAAAATTATCTTTGGCTTGACAAGAGTCAATAAATCATAAATTTGATCCAAAGACTTACAGAAGAGTGAACCATTAAAACCAAATTTCTAAAAGAGTTGCAGTTGACATTGGATAGTAATATTAACGGGAAAGTGATTGATCGAAGTGTTCAGTTGCTGTGCTCTTGAAGAGCACTGAAGCGGCCCTTTACCACCCAGTAATATGTAATGATTTGTGCGATGGATTTCATGGCAGTTTAAAGAATGCATTAAAGAGTTGAAATGGCGTATTGCACCTCTCCTCTTTGGAAGATTTTCTCTCAAACTACACTTATGTTCACGCCGTTTGAACCACTATGGTATGGGGAAGTCAAGACTACTTACACTTATATCATGGACTTATGCAATTGCCTTCAGTCTAGTTGTAAGTTAGCTGAGAAAGAATTAATTTTAGTTCAGGATGTACACAGGCCTACAGTGGCGGCAAAAAAAAATATTTGTATTTTAACTGTGGTTATAGTACAAAGCTGCAGAAACCTTGCTAAAATCATGTCATGGAAATGAATGAAGAAGTACTAAGCTAGAGGAAACTAAGACGAAACTTAATCCCAAACGATGCAGTTGGTAGTCTTGGTGAAACGGAGGCAGCAGCTCGGAGTAAAGATATGTGGCCAATGTAGCCATTATTCTAAACTGACTGGGCCAAGTACTTCAGTATGCTGGATTTTGCAACAGGATTTCTATCAGATATCTATATCAGTGTTTCTTAACCTTTTAGAGTCAAAGACCCCTTTAAGAACCTGATGAAAGCTGTGAACGCCTTCCCAGAAACATTCACGTAAAAACAACTTTGTTTGCAATGCTTATAAAGTACGTTACATATTGTGATTTGATTGCCTCATGCAAAATTAAACAATCTGTGTGTGTGTCTATCTGTTTATTGTTTATTTATTTTTGTGCGTTTGTACATCCATACTGGTGAACATACATATCAATTCAATAAAACCATCGCTCTTTTTGCTTTCAGAAACGACTCGACCACTACAAGGTCACCATATTTTTATCAAACATGGGCAAGTTTATCAAGACGTTGATAATCAAGCCAATGACAAATTTCTTCAGCCTTTACGAGTTTTGCAACATGTCCTGTTTCATGAACCACAAAGTCCCGGGCACGCTGGAGAAC